GCGAAGGAGGAAACACGACCTCCTCCGCCACGCACTCGGTCGAGAATGACGGCAGAGACATCTGTTGGGGGAAAAGGGAGTTAATGTGTGGGGGGGGGAGATATAGAAGATGGGAAGAATGAGAGAATTTAGGGGTGAAGGAGAGAATGTGGATGGATGGAGAGAAATGGATGTAAGTGGAGGATGAGAAAGAAAAGGAGAGAAAATCAAAACAAAAATGACGATAGTGATAATAATAATTGTAATTATCATCATAATCATAATATTGATTATGATAATGATGATAATAAAAGAGACAGTTATAATTACAATTATGATAATAATAAGGAAAAGATGATTATAATTATACCTATAATGATAATGATAGTTATAATGATAATCAGTGATAATCATTATGATAATGAAAATGACAACGACAACGATAATGATTGTAATGATAACAGTAATAATAATGATAATGGTAATGGTGATGATGATAATTGTGATAATAATTATGATAAGGGGGATAATGATAATGATAAAAAACAACGATAATGATGATAATAATACTAATACTAATGATAATGATAATAATCAACATTCTGTCTCTGCTTGTATATTCCTTCCTTCGTCCGTTCGCATGTTAAGCATTCCTCCTAAAATGACATTCCACGTGACTGCGGAGTTGAAGTCACTACATTTTAGTGTAAAATAGGGAAATAAATGACGACACACACACGCACACACACACACACACATGCACACACGCACACACACACACACACACACACACTCACAAACAAACTCCTACACACACACGCATAAACAAACTCCTAAACACAAACACACGTACAAACAAACACCTACACTACTAGGCTACTATTATAATTTTTTAGATTATCATTATCATTATTGCTATTACTGTTTTTATTATCATTCTTCATCTTCGAGGCAAATACACTGTGTTAATTAGAACGTCAGTTTATGCATATTTATTATTTACACTCTCCAAAAGGGGGAAGTGAGAAGGAAGGTAAGAGAAGAAAGGGAAAAGAAAGAAGACAAGAAAGGGTAGGAAGAAGGAAAAAGAAGGGAGGAGGGCTTAAAGAGGGAAAGGAGGAAAAAGGAGCTGAAAGAGAAAAGGGAGATGGGGAAGGGAAGAGAAACGGAGGGGATTTAAAGAGGAAAGGGAGGAGGGAAAAGAGAGAAGGAGGAGAAATGGAGAGGAGGTTTATAGAGAAAAGGGGAATGGGGGAGGAGGGAGGAGAGGGAATAAGGGAGCGAAGGTGGGGGATGAGGGAGGAAGATAAAGGGGAAAAGGTGAATTTAAGGAAGATTTAGGAGAGAGAGTGGGTGAAGGGAGAGAGAGAGGAAAAAGGAGAGAAGAAGCGAAAGGTAGAAGGTAGAGGGCCAAAGAAAGAGAGAAAAGAGAAATATATTTTTTCCGGGGGGCGGTAGAGTATTCCGTGGAAGAAAAAACTACTCCTACTAATAACAACAATACTGGTAATAACAACAATAACAATGATAATGACAATACACAATAACAAGTGGCTCACAGATAACCCTTTTAACTTAATACTCACCTCTCTTAATATCCATACTCACCTCTCATTAACTTAATTAATATTCATACTCACCTCTCATACGTCACAACTTACCTGCTGATACACTCTTGAAGAAACCTCCCCAGACGCCACATTTCCCAGCATAAGAACAGCCCACGCATGAAAACCGACTGCCCTAAGCATACAACGAACACTCCATATATAATCCATGTCCCTAACGGAGAGTTCCCGGAGTATGCGTCCTGCGCAGAGTTTCAAGAGCGAATATGACTTCAGGGAGGATGCGAAGAGGGTAAAGTATGCGTGTGTGGGTGTGGGTGTGGGTGGGGTGGGCGGTGATTTGGGGATGTGTGGGCGGGTAGGGGGAGGGGTCAAGAGAGTGGGGGTGGGGTTTGTGCGCATGCGTGAGGGTCACAAGTTGATGGTTATATTGATTCCGTTTGGGATTTCATTCGTCTTCATTAATGAGGGAGAGAGAGAGAGAGAGAGAGAGAGAGAGAGAGAGAGAGAGAGAGAGAGAGAGAGAGAGAGAGAGAGAGAGAGAGAGAGAGAGAGGGGGGGGGGAGAAAGAGAGTGGGAGAGGGAGATGAGAGGGGGAGAAAGAGCCAGAGAGAGAGAGAGAGAGAGAGAGAGAGAGAGAGAGAGAGAGAGAGAGAGACAGAGAGAGAGAGAGAGAGAAGGAGAGAGTGAAAGAAAGAGGGAGAACACACACACACGCACACACATGCCCACACACATACACTAAAAATAGGAAAATATTGAAATCAGAAAAAATAGACAGTAGTAGTATAATTATATATAGAGAAATAGACACATAAAGACAGACAGAGAAAATAATAAAATAGAGAAAATACAAGAAAAAATGCAATAGTTAAACAGCCAAAACCACTAGATACACAGTGTAATACAAAGATACACCCACGAACTCATACAAATATACAATATACACCCACAAGCACTGCCGATAAACGCAAGCTTAAGTGCTTAATGCGTTAACGATTGGGATAAGCGGACACACACTAGCAATCACACTCTCTCTCTGTCTGTCGCCAAAATTCTTTATCAGATATGAAGCACAACATAAAACCACTTATTTTGTTGAATAGAGGAATAATAAAAGATATTTTCTATTCTAACATTTTTTATTTTCTATATTATCTAAATATATCTTTCTCACTGTTCTATACAGATATAGAGGCGAAGTATGTAACGTTTATGAGGAGATAACCATACTTATAGATGAATATGGGTATATTAAAATTTACTATACATATATACTGGACCTATTCTATACTAGACAAACGGATATAAGACAGATGTATAAATATATACTTATCTATTTAATATCATTACAGCAGTCGCTTTATCTTTCTCGATGTCTGCAAAATTTACTATTATATAATTCAAAAACTTAAAATAGTGTACCTCTCTGCACTCAAGCAAAATATGAGGAAGCAATAACAGAGAACGTACGAAAAATAACTAGAAAATAGATAGCTAATGGAAAATTACATTACATTAAATTACAATGTATATATATATATATATATATATATATATATATATATATATATATATATATATATATATATATATATATGTAATGGAAATATAATATGGAGCTAGAGAGATAGTCTTGCAGATAAATAAATAAATGTATGTATGTATGAATATATAATTTCTATATTACAGGAGTAGTTTTCACCTTTTTCGATATCTACAGTATTTACTAGAATAAAATTCAAGAACTTAAAATGCTGTATTTCCTACACTCAACAGAAACAAATATATTTTACAATATACATATGATTATATACTGAATACACATAATAATTTCAATAAGTGGGTAAATAGGCTTACAGATAAATAAATACATGGTTAAATAAATACATAATTTATCTAGTAGAATTACATAAAGTTCGTTTTAACCTTTTACGATATCTACAATATTTACTGTAATACAAATCAAGTACTTAAAATACTGTACTGTACCCTACACCAAAGCCAAGTATACGGGAAAGGATTTTATAGCACACACAAACAAGCGTTACATACATTATCAAGTACATTATGACAAATGTACTTATAAATCATCATTACCCACAGAAGGTCAAACGGTACACACCTATACATACGCACATACAATAACTCTTTCCATACATACATGATCAAAAATCCTTTCAAAAATTGTTTGGTTTCTAAGGCACGCTACTATATATATATATATATATATATATATATATATATATATATATATATATATATATATATATATATATATATATATATATATGTGTGTGTGTGTGTTTTTGAGGTTGTTCTTTTCGAATAATCGTTTTTTTTTTTGTTTTTGTTTTAATGAAGAAAAAATGTTTCTGCTGTGATTGACATAAAAATAATAGCCTTCTTTATTTTCCTATGTGTCTACATATGTAACTGTATTTGTTGTTTTTATGTATATATAACCACAGCGACCATCTTTGTGTATTTATAATCATATGTGTATATACGCGTAACTGTATAAGTATACATATATATATCTGCGTACTCGTATTTCTATGGTAGACTTGCCTTTAATTATAACACATCATTCAGCCCATAATAACACAGGACGAGCAAGTCAAGGGGATTTCTACTTGGCAAGCCATAACTCCATGTACTGCTAGAACCTCCTTAATCGTCACTGGCTGAGAAATTAATGCATAATTCGCTCGTCATTTATCAACGTGTTTGCAATTTAGCGTTGTGGCAGCAGAGGAAGTCATCCATTTTGTTGATAGATTTTCTTTTCTTTTTTATTAATGGTTCTTCTGCCTTGTCTTTTCTTTCTCTTCAAAGAGAAAGAAAGAAAGGAAAAAAAAACAGGGTTAGTACCCATAGAACTTGGGACATTTTTCACTTGTAATGTACATGTTAGTGTTTGTGAGTGCGTACGTATGTTTACACCAAGATACGCAAATCTGCTGTAGTGAATCAAAGTAACCTACAACGTCTTTGTATCGATTTTTATATGATTATTCTCCTGCTCTCTCCCCTCATTCTTTGTGCGTTTCTCTTTTATCTTTCTTCATTTTTCTTCTCCATTCATGTTACGATCGTCTTACTTTTTCATTTTTTCTTGCAATGTCGCATTTTATTATCCTCCTTTCCTCCTACTCGTTCGTCCACTCTTCCATCTCCTCCCCTCCTCTCCTTCTTCCCCCTTCTCTCCTCTCCTTCACCCCCTCCTTCTACTTTCCACCTCTCCTATTTCCCTTCCCTCCCTCTTCCTTCTCCTCTTCTCCTCTCCTCCTTTTCCCCTTCCCTCTCTCTTCCTTCTCTTCCCTTCCTCTTCTCCTTTTCCCCTTCCCTCCCTCTCTTTCATCCCCTCCTCCTTCTCCCCTCTTCCTCCTTTTCCTCTTCCTTCATCCCCTCTTCCTCCATTTCTTCCCACCACCTCTCCTCCCTCCTCCTTTAATCAGACAACGAGCACAGGAGCGCCACGCCCCTGAGAGTCCAGTGGTCCTCCGAGAGATGGGTAGGGATCCTGACGGAGATGACGTAGTTCGTGCAGTGCCCCGTCGTGGTCAGGTTCCCGCGTCGTTCGCTCGTCTTGTACACAGGGCAAGAATAGGAGGTCGTGGCGGGTATGTCTTCGCGAACCATTGGCCTCAACCAGATCTGTGGAGGAGGAGGTGTTGATAGATCGAAATAGATAGATAGAGAGAGATTTCGTTGATTATTTATTTATTTATTTTATTTATTTTAGATTATTTTGATAGATCGTAAGGAGTAGGAAGTCGTGGCAGGTATATCCTCGCGAACCAGATCTGTGGAGGAATGGTTAATGGTTAAAACAAATAAACGTGCTAGAGTCATGTAACACTATGGTAAAATATTGTGGCAAAAAGGGTAAAAATAAGTTAACGATTAGAATAAAATGTGTTAGACGTCAAAGGTTATAAAGTGTTGTAGGATTTTATGGTTGTGAAAAGTTAAAGATGGGGGAGGGAGCAAATGAAGTAAGGGGGGGGGGTACTAAAAGAGGAAAGGGTTAAGGGTGAAGAGTGATTGGATTAAATGGAGAATGTTGTGTCTGAGGAAGGAGAGGAATATTGTTTAAGGAAAATTGGCAAAAGAGACATTATGAAACAATCAACGGGTAACAATCAACGGGCAATAGGGGTAGAAATAGTTGTTGGAGAAATAGGAGAGTTGAAGAATCCGGGGAATGGAATAAGGGAAGAGGGGAAGGTGGTGAAGCATCACGAAGAATGTCAGAAAGGGGAAGGACATATGGAAATCACGTGAGTATTCAAGTAGAAGTGGTAAAGATAACGGGGAAAGAAGAGGGAATGGTGGTACACATGGAGGAGAGAATGAGGTGCTTTGTGAGAGAGTGGGAAGAAGGGGGGTAGGGGGAACTAGGGGAGGAAGAGGATGGATATCGGCAAATATTTCGAATGTAGTTGGTAGAATAGATGGATTTGAGGGTGCATGAGGGAACGGAGCATTTTCTTGGGGCATTCATAGGAAGTTTTTGAATGTCTTCAAGAGTTTCTGGAGGGGAGTTGGGTGGGGAGGTCTGAGAAACAAAGTGAGGAGGACAGGAGGGGCTAGATGTCCGAAGAGCAGAGAGAGCTGGGTGTAGGAGAGGGTGTGGGAGGAGAAGATGGGGTGGAACGTTTAGGATGTCCAGTGCGACAGGGAGGGTGAGAAGGAGGAGGGGTAGGCATGGGGAAGTGGTAGAGATAGGAGCATCAGGATTTACGCAAGGAAATTTGATTAAGAGAGAGAGGGAGAAGAGGTAGGATGGTTCGGGATAGAGGAAAGAGATATTGGAGGAGATGGTGAGACATTTTGAGAAGATGAGAGGGTAGCAGAGCGAAGGACAGTTTACGAATGGGTAGAGAGAGAAAAGCCTCGTCGGCTTGCTTCCTGTCTGGCCTTACGTAGAGTGAGGAATAGTTTGAATCTGATAACAGCTACCTCAGATTCGAGCTTGCAGGTAGGGAAGCTCCTATAAAATACATTGTGGGAGCCACCACAATTGGCACACCGTGTTCCTGCTGGGTGGCCAAAACGCCAATATTCCTGACATTGACGAGGAAGGGGTTGATATGGTCGGACAGGGCAAGATATTCCACCAATATAAACATTAAGGGAGAGGTCATGTCTACGGAAGCTAATCTTGGCAACATTGGTCTCTGGGAGGAATAGTGTAGCACGGTACTGCCACTACATCATAGTCAACAAGGTATGCGATCAGGTCGTTTCACAGGGATGGTGTGGAGTGAGGTAGTAGTGTGGGGAGGAAGATGAAGAGTAGTAATAAAGGATAAAGGGATAGACAATTAAGACCACTGTTCAGTAGCAGATGGAATGGAGAATGTTGGGAGAGAGGAAGGGGTGCATTCTGAAACTTGAGCAATGACCTGGGTAAATGATTTTGAATGGAGAGAGTTGTCAGAAAGTATTAGGATCAGCGGTCGGAGCCGTGGGCAAAGGAGAGGCAGGGGTCGGGAAACCAGACAAATCTAATTTAGAGAGGCTGCTTGGTGAAGGGACAAACCATAATCCCCCTAACAAAGGTAAAAAAAAGCTTCATTATTGGCCATGTGAGCCTGAAATAAGTGGGGAAAGGAAACGGTCAAGCCCCCTTAAGAGGTAAGAGCTGGGCAATTAAAAAGGGATGGAGAGGAGAAGGAAAAGAGGATGAGGAAGAGAAGAAAAAAAGGGATGGAGAAGAGAAGGAAAAGAGGACGAAGAAAAGAAGAAAGAAGGGGTGAAGAAGAGAAAAAAAGGGGGGTGAAGAAGAGAGGGGAGAGGAAAGGGTGAGAAGAAAAGACCCTGCAAAATTAGTTGAGGCGAGGGCTGAGGACCATGACAGGACTGATCCCCCTCATTGGGCCTCTGTCTCAGTCCCCCCTCCCCCCCTCCGATAACAACGAGCAAGAGATTGGTAGGGTGAGTCTGTGGAGGAGGAGGAGCTGATAGATCGAAATTGATATATATATAGAGAGAGCCGTCGTTTTTATTTAGGTATATTAGCATTCATCCATTTCTTTAAACAGATGAAAATACCTAGCTATACCTGTTATTGCTGTTGAATTTCCGCATCCATTAATTCCCATCCTAAAAAAAAGAAAAGAAAAGAAAAAAAAAAATCGCAGCCAAAAGAAATCCTCACCGGCGGCATGTTCTCGTGAAGGCGTCTCGGCAGGGCCTCCTCCAGGCGGTCTGTCGAGTGGTCCCAGCGCGCGCCCTCGAGGAACAGACCCCGGATGTAAGTTCCCACGTCGGGGGCGGGGCTATCCTCGTCGACGTCACAGACCTGAGGGGGGGGAAGGGGAGAGAAGGGGAGAAGGGGGGGTGAGTTCGTGTGTGTTTTTTTTTTTTGTTGTATGATTTTTTTTATTGTGATTGTTGTTTTTATTATTATTATTATTTCCATCGGGTTTTATTGTTTTTCATCATTATTATTATCATTAACATTAACATTATCATCCAAATTATTATCATTCTAATAATCATAATAATTTTTATCATCATTATCACAGTCATATTTATAATCAAGTATCATTATCCTTTTTCATTAATATGTTCATTATCAGTGTCTCATCCCCATATATTAACGTTATTATCATAATTTTCTATATCATAACTCATCGCCAACGCCGTGAAGAAACATTAAGGGGGGGAGGGGAGAAAAAGAAGTATGACTGTTATTAAAAGCGTCACTGTCATTTTTATTAATACTATGATAACGTACTTTATTATGTACAAGTTAATCTCCGTGTCAAATGTTGAAATATTAAACATATTCTCTTTGCTTATTTTTCTCTGTCTTAAAAAAAAAATAATTGTTCTTTGTTCTCTGTCTTTGTTATGCTCCTCAATTATTCTGATTGTCTTTGCACCATATTCTTCAAGTGGATTTTAACAAGTTACATCATATCAAATATAGACGTTATATTACTCGATTTCACATTACAAAACATCCCGATTATTATATATCACAAATTACCATAACTTTATAGAATTTATAGAACCTCATAATTCTTATATATCAACAATCACCATACTCATTCCAGCATTTACAACCCAACATTACTTACCAAATACCATAAACTCCCATACTCCATTACATCACTTACAACTAATACCATAAATACCCATACTCATACCAGCATATAAACACACCATTACTTATCCCATCCCATAAATACCCATACTCATACCAGCATATAAACACACCATTACTTATCCCATCCCATAAATACCCATACTCATACCAGCATAAAAACACACCATTACTTATCCCATACCATAAATACCCATACTCACACCAGCACTTACAACCTCATGCTCCCCAAAAACACCATGCCATCCTTAAATTCATTCCATCACCTTACCAAGTCATACCACTCCTCATCCCAACTACCATATATCCCCCAAACAAAGCCCATGAAACTCACTCCACTATTAACAAACCCACTAACCACACACCACACATCGTCACAACCATTACACCATCACCTCGCGTCCCCAATACCTTAAAATGGAACCACAGCTGATCGATGGCGAGGGTGTAGGCGCGAGCATGGTTCTGCAAAACAGCTGTTAAGAAGGACTGGGTGAAGAAGAACCCGCTTAGCCAGAACACACGAGGCTGGCCGAGTTCGTACCAATTCTGCGAAAGGAGGAAGAGGAGGAATTGGTAAAAATGGGGTGAGTGGGATGATGGGGGGTTGGGGGGAATGGGTAAGAAGGGAGAGGTAGATGAAAGGGAGAGAGGGAGATGGGAGAGAGAGAGAAAGAGAGGGAGGGAAGGAGATGAGAGAGAGGAAGATGGGAGAGAGAAAGGGAGGGAAGGAGATGGGAGAGAAAGAGAGAAGAGAGAGCAAGAGAAAGGGAGGGAGATGGAAAAAAAAGAGAGAAAACGAAGGAGATAGGAGAAAAAGAGGAAGAAACAGAGAAATAGGGATAAATCATACATGAACTAGACGAAAGAAAACAATGAAAGATTGCCAAAAAAAATAAAGATAGATAACAAAACGTATACAGGAGACGACGACTATCCTTTTCCTGCCGAAGCTCCCCCACGCCTCACCTGAAGGAACTGGAGGCGCTGGACGAGGTCGTTGATGTAGGAGCCGAGGCCCTTGAGCGTTGGGTAGGACCTCGCTCGCCACATGTCGGGGACGCGCCCTGTTCGCACCCCCACGAGCACCTCCTCCACCTCCTCCGACAGACTTTCCGTTCCTGGGGGAGGTTAATAGGCCCGTTTTGACGGCAGTTTGAAAGTGAGCGGTTTTTTCACGCACATGCACACGCACGCACACATACACACACAAACACACACAAACTCACACACACATACACACACACGCATACACACAAACGCATACATACACACACACAGAAATACATGCATATATACATATATACACGCACATATAAGTATACATCTACACTCATACCAATTCTGCAATAAGAATATTAAAAAATGCTAATGAAATAGAATCCAATAATACCAATAACAACAACAAAAATCCCATCAACAACAACAAATAAAAACAAATACAAAACAACAACACTCGCCAACACTATCTCTCTCGGTGAATTAATCAGCCAAGAAAAAAAAAAAAACATCGACCCGACTTCCCACTAGAATTGAATTAATCAACTGTCATATTTCATTATCATTCCCTTACCCCCCCCCCCCTTGCCGTATCACAGGTCACGGCGTCCAAAAGCGTATCTTTAAAGACCCTTCCTGCAGTTAATCAACCTGACACGTGTTTTATTATCTTCTAAACATCTGATTGTGATGGAAAAGATCGAGTGGCCACGCTTAATGGGGACAGTTTATCAGTCTGGGAATTAAATAGAATTGCCAGCTGTTGGAGTCGAGACAGAAAGAGAGAGATAGAGAGATAAAGAGGAAGAGATAGAGAGAGAAAGAGGAATAAAAAGACGGGAGAGACAAGAGTCGAGAGGAGAGTCAAAAGTAGGAAGGAGGGAGGGAGAGAGGGAAGGTAGAGAAAATGAAAGAGCAGAAAACGATAGAGAGAACAGAGAAAGAAAGAAAGAAAGAGAGAAAGAGAGCGAGAGAGAGAGAGAGAGAGTGAAAGAGAGAGAGAGACACACAGAGAGAGAGAGAGAGAGAGAGAGAGAGAGAGAGAGAGAGAGAGAGAGAGAGAGAGAGAGAGAGAGAGAGAGAGAAGAGACAGAGAGAGAGAGAAAGAGAGAGAGAGAGAGAGAGAGAGAGAGAGAGAGAAAGGGGGAAGGGGAGAAATAAAAAAGATGAAGATAAAATGCAGATGAAGACAGACAGGAAACGAGATCAAGAGACAGAGAGAAAAAGAAATAAAGAGACGGACAGGAAGCGATCTAAAATATATGAAGAAAAAGATAGATAGATAGAAAGAGAAATAAAAAAGACAGATAAAGCAAGATCAAGAAAGAGAGAGAAAGAGACGGAGGGAAACAGAGAGAGAGACGAACAGAAAGCAAGATAGAGATGAAGAAATAGAGAAAGGGAAAGAAAGACACAGAGAGAAAGCGAGATCAAGAGACGGAGGGAGAAAGAGAAAGAAAGAGACGGAGTGAGGTAGAGAAAGAAAGAGAGAGACGGAGAGCGAGATCAAGAGACGGAGATAGAAAGAGAAAAAGAAATAAAGAAACGAAGAGAGAAAGTGAAAGAAAATGACAAACAGAAAGCGAGATCAAGAGACGAATTGAAAGATAAAGAAAGAGACAGAGAAAAAGAGAAAGAAAGAGGAAGAGAAAGAAAGAGACGGAGAGAAAAAGAGAAAACACCCAAAAAAAAAAAAAAAAAAAAAAAAAAAAAAAAAAAAAACAGACAAAGACAAAAACAGACCGATCCCACCGGACCTTCAATAGCCCTGAGGACGGCGCTGATGGTGCTAGAGATGGTGATGATGAGGGCGTTGTATCTGCTCATCTCCTGCACGAGGACGGTGTTGAGGCTCTGCTCCCTCCTGGTGGGGTACTTGGCGAGGGCGGCGTCCACCACGAAGGGCGGCGGGATGCGGCCCAGGATCTCCTCGCACGTTTTCCCTACGGCGTCCCCGTCGCCGTCGCCGCCGCCGCCGGACGAGAGCGACGTCGCCTGCGGGAAGGGTTGGGGTCTTTGGGGTTAGAGTGAGGGCGTGGAAGGAGGAAAGGGGGGGGGGGAGACGAGGAGAGGGGGGAGGGGGGAGGGAGAGAGGAAGGGAGGGGAGAGGGGAAGGCGAGGAGAGGAAGGGGGGGAGGGGGAAGAGGAGAGGGGGAGGGGGAGGGGGAAGACGAGGAGAGGAAGGGGGGGGGGAAGATGAGGAGAGGGAGGAGAGGGGAAGACAAGGAGAAGGGGGAGAGGGGAAGACTGAGGAGAAGAGGGGGGGAGGGGAAGATGAGGAGGTGGGAGGAGAAGGGAAGACGAGGAGAGGAAGGGAAAGAGGAGAAGGGGAGGAAATAAAGATAAAGAGGGGAAGACGAGGAGAAGAGAAAAAGGGGAAGGCGAAGAGAGAGAAGGAAAAAAAGGGAAGACGACGAAAGAAAGAGAATGAAGGGAAGGCGAGGAGAGGGAATGGAAGAGGGGAAGGCGTGGAAAGAAGAAGAAGAAGAAGAAGAAGAAGAAGAAGAAGAGAGAGAAAAAGAGAGAAAGAGAGAAAAAGAGAGAGAGATAGGTAGACAGAGAGAGAGAGAAAGAAATAGACAGATAAAGGAAGAGAAAGATAGAGAGAAAGAGGTGGACAGAGAAAGAAAGAGAGAGAGAGAGAGAGAGAGAGAGAGAGAGAAAAAGATGGACAGAGACAGACACAGACACATAGACAGAGAGAGAGAGAGAGATAGAAAGAGAGAGAGAGAGAGAAAGACAGAGAGAATTAAAGAACACCAGTCCTTCTATTCTGCGTTAAAAATAATGTTATTTATTAATGACAAGTGTTTAATATCCATGACATGTAAACTGCACTTAAATAGTGCTCAGCCATGAACAGAAAAGGAGAAGGTAAAGGTAAAAGAAACGAATGAAAATGCATGATGGTAATATTAATAATAATAATGATAATGATGATAATAACAACAACAATAACAATAATGATAATAATAACAATAATAACAACAATAAAACTACTACTAATAATAATGGCACAAAAACATAAATAAAAAAATAACAACACTGAAAAAACAAAAGTAAAAAAAAAAGGATAGGAACAACAAATGGAAAGGAAGAATTTGAAGAATTTAATTTGACGTGAACCCTGATTGTAAAAAAAAAGAAAAGAAAAGAAAAGAAAAGAAAAGAAAAGAAAAGAAAAGAAGAAGAAAAAAAAAAAAAAAAAGGGAGGAAACGAAGACCAACAATAATAATATCAATAATCGACACCTGGCTTACATGCTACTACTACTACTACGGATAGTTATCATTATCATAAAACCCGGCACCTGTGTGAGAAGAACCGCCAAGAAGAGCTTGTTCGTCTCCGCCTGGTCCTTGTTGATTTTGGCGTTGCTGTCCATGCTACTTCTACTACTATTACTACAACAACAACAACAACAACAACAACAACTACTACTACTACAAGAACAACAACAACAACAACAACTACTACTACTACTACAACAACTACTACTACTAGAGTTTGTTTGTCTCCGCTTGGTCCTTGTTGATGCTGGTGTTGCTGTTCATGCTACTACTACACTACTGTTACTACAACTAATGGTAATTATTATAAAGGAAAAAAAAACCCGCACCTGTGTAAGAAGAACAGCCGAGAAGAGCTTGTTCGTCTCCGCCTGGTCCTTGTTGATGCTGGCGTTGCTGTTCATGCCGAAGACGTGGGGCGGGGCGTCGCGAGGGAGCTCAGAGATGTGGTTCAGGTAGGAGGCGTATTCACCGTCGGGGGGCGTGGTGTATACGTCTAAGGGGGCGGGGAAAGGGAAAAGGGGGGAAGGGAAGAGGGTTGAGGGAAGAGGGAAAAGGGAAAAGGGAAGAGGGGGAAGGGGGGGGAAGGGAAGGAGGGGGGAAAAGGGGGGAGAGGGGGGAAAGAGAAGGGAGTGTATGAGTATTGGGATGATGGAGAGGAGAGGGAAAAGGCGGTGATAAAGGAGGATAGTTAAGGGAGTGATGATGTTGGAGATACGTTACGATACGGTAGTTGGTTGCCTTCTTAGGAAAACGAGGAAGAAGCGAGAATAAGTGAAAATAAGGAAGACAATGGTAATAACGGTGACAAAGAAGAGATCGTGATAATGATAGTAGAAAGAGGAAGGAGAGGGAAATGGAGAGGGGAGTGAAAATGATGATGCGAAAGGCGGATATGAGATAATATAAATAACAGAAAGTAGGAAATTATGATAGTTGGGGAGAAAGGTTTACGAAGAGGAAGAAGATATACGAAAATACAAAAACAAATGAAATACGAATAACATTTACGGTACAACCACTTAAAATATACCCTGAGTTGCAAATACTGGCTCAACCGCCCTACTGCCTTGCAAAGAGTGAACCAAAACATTAAACATTCAAGGATCTCTAACATAATAACCCCATAAACACAATCCCCCCCCCCCCAACAGAACAAACCATAAACCTTCCAAACCAACACCAAAACACAACCCGGAACCACAAAACCCCCCACTTACTCTGTGGATCGAACGAATGCGTCTCTCCCTTCACAATATCCGGGTTGTAAAAACGACGCAAGATCGTACTCAACGTCCTCCGGTCTCGCTCGTCCGTCACTTTCCCTCCGTAGTTGCATTCCGCCGTCAGGTACTGGAGGGCTTCCCAGGGGATCTCCTGAAGCCGCAGGAAGCAAGGAACAGGAGGGGGGGGGAGGGGAAGAGAAAGGAAGAAATAGGTGAGAATTAGGAATGAAGTGAGTTAAACGAGGGGAAATGGTTGGGGGGGGGGGAATCGTTGGTGAGAATAGTCTGTGCAAGAAATTTTTATTTTGATGTGATAGAAATGTAGAAAAAAATAAATAAAATTGTGGGAAGAAGTGCTTAGAAAGGTAGATACTTTTTTATATAATTTAATATGTTGTTTATTCTGTTTGTTAACCCAGAGCTGCCGGGTAAATGTACTGTCAACTGTAACTTTCTTTAGTGATTTTTATTTGCTCATAGATGGCTCCACAAATCACAAAGGAGCTAATTAATAGGCCTATACGACCTCACCTATTTCCTATTTCCTTTGCTTTTTTTCTTTTGCTCTTAATATCGATGCTGTTACCATTGTCATTATGGATGTCATGTTATTAACAATAACAATAATAATAATAATAAAAAGAAAAAAAAAAGGAAAACAGGTAAGATAAATAAAACTATTAAGTGACTCCTTACCGATTAATTTAGGACTTCCAGAGCCATCTATGTGCAAAAACAATTAATTTAACAAAAACAAAACAAAAACATAGTGGCCATGGCAAGTACATTCACTATCCCGGCACCTCCAAATTAAAAGTCATTATGTTAATTATGATTTCTACATAATATCAATATTTATTAACAGTGTTCAAGGGAGTGCTTTATGTGTAACAATCATACATCTATTTAAATGCTTCTCTTATGTTATTAATAGTGTTCATAATCCAATTTAAACGAAAGTGTATCATTTACATATTGCATATCTAATTAATTAATATAAGGCTTCTTAGATATACTCAATCTTACTTTAAGATTTTATAACATCAGGCAATAAATTATAAAAAGAATTAGATAAATAATTTAAAACAAGCACTACGTTTGTAAAATAAGGAATTTAGTGGTCTGGTGTGATAAACAGTGTTTAAGACAACGAGAAAGAGAATGCGAGAGAGAGAGAAGGAGAAGGAGGAAGAAAAGGAGTAAGGGGGAGGAGGGGGAGGAGGAGGAGGAGGTAGAGGAGGAGGAGGAAGAAGAGGAGGAGGGAGAAGAGGAGTAAGGGGGAGGAGGGGGAGGAGGAGGAGGAGGAGGAGGAAGAGGAGGGGAGGAGGAAGAAGAGGAGGAGGAGGAGGTAGAGAGGGAGGAGGGGGAGGATGAAAAGGAGGAGGAGGAGGAGGAGGAGGAGGAGCAATAGGAAAAGGAACGAAATGAAAAAGAGGAAGGAGAGGAGGAAGAGGAAAAGCATGAGGAGCAGAAGGTGGAAGAGGAGGTAGAGGCGGTGAAGGAGGAGGAGAAGAAGGAAGAAGAGATATATGAGGAAGAGATTAAATGACGAAAGAGAGAAAGAGAGAAAGAGAGAAAGAGAGAGAGAGAGAGAGAGAGAGAAAGAGAGAGAATCAGACCGAGAAAGAAACAAAACCAAAAGACAGACCATCAAAACCAAATAAAATCAATCACATAACAAGTCTACAAAACAAAACACAAACAAACAAACAAACTACACGATACAATAACTCTCCGAACACAAGCACATCTAAAATTATCAAACTATCTTTCCTCTCATTGGCTTTCCTTAAGAGAGGATCGGCGCCAACCAACCCAGTCGTCCAAATGAGGGGATTGGTCGTTCTTAATTACCATAATTAGATAAAAGATAAGGCCATTCGTTAGTTAAGAAAAGAGGGAGAGATAGTAAATATACGAGACACCATTTATTCCACATGCCTCTGGTAAACAATCTCTAAGTAAGAATATGGTGTAAATATGACATTTCTTTTAAAATATGTAAAAAAAAAGAAAAAAAAGAAAAAAAAAAAATCTACACGTACTATAACGTCATTGTTTTGGTGACGTCATGACATTTCTGGCGTGGTAATACAGCCGTGACGTCATTAACAAAGTGTGACGTAACCGCTATGACATCATGCACTGCCAAGACAATATTAGAGGAATTAACGTGTCCTTAGTGCAATTTCCTCATATTCCATTACCTTATATGGATGCGGGTGATATATCTTAATCCAGACTATAAAAAAAAAAAAATATATATATATATGACTACTAATCTGCAACACTTTTTTTTTTTGCTTCGAGAAATCCCCGATTCTGACACTTATTTTCCTACACCACAAGAAATATCACCCTCATCCTTTCAAATAATCTACCATTCATCTCGAGGAATTAGATGGATCAAAGCAATATCACAAAAAAAGAAGAGAGTGAAAAAAGAAAACAATAAGAACAATAATTTTAATAGAAAATACGACTCCGCGTTCGTGGATTCACTCGGATCGAAGCCGCTTTGCTCACCAGGGTTTACAAGAACGATCCAGGCCAGGTAGAAGGAGAGGGAGATACAGAAGACGGAAGGAGAGATAGAAATATGCGATTAACTTAACGAAAAGGAGACGGAGAGGAAGAGAGAGAAAAAAATAAATCCCAGTTGATGAAAATGATATACATTTATAAAGAAAATCATTAGATATGTTTATTATATAATATTTTTTTATTTTTTATTTTACTTACGTGTTTGTTTTCCATTCCGTTCTTGTGTGTAGACTTACATGCAGGTTATATTCTGTCATTCATTCGTTTTTTTCTTTTCCTTCTCTCTCTCTTTCTCACTCTCATTCCTCTCTCTTTCTCTCAGTTTCACACACAAACTAATTCTCTCTCTCTCTCTCTCTCTCACGCACACATACACACACAAAACAAACAAATACTCTCTCTCTCTCTCTCACACACACACACAAACAAATTCTCTCTCTCTCTCACCCTCTTTCTCTCTCTCTCTCTCTCTCTCTCTCTCTCTCTCTCTCTCTCTCTCCCTCTCGCACAAAATATTCTCATACACAGACACACACACACACACACACACACACACACACACAGTTCATATTCCAACAGTTATGAAAAAGAGTTAGTGCTTATTATCAATCTGATTATCCCAGGAACAAAGTGATCCAAAACGTAAAGCATACAAATTTAAATAGGAAAATATAAGCCCATATCCTAAATCTATCTTGAATGCATTGAAAAAAAAAAAAATTATAATCTACAAAAAATCGATTGTGCTTATTTTTCTAAATCTAACATAATATAGAAGACAAAGAAATACGTTTAAAGCTTTAAGATTAAGACAATCCTTTATTATTAATGGAAAGCACATTGTACAAAATACTTACCTTCGATTTTTTTTTTTACAAGAGACATGAGACATGATTATCAAATACAAGAAATAAAAATTGTTCTATTTACAGCGGTGAGCCACTGTTGTGCAACGATAGAAGCGATGTATATGTCTGATATATATATATATATATATATATATATATATATATATATATATATATATATATATATATAAATACTTACCTCCTAACGTATGAATGAATATATGTATGTATGTATGCATTTATGATTATATGTGTGTGTATGTGCGTATGTGTGTACGTGTGTGTGTGTGTGTGTGTGTGTGTGTGTGTGTGTGTGTGTGTGTGTGTGTGTGTGTGTGTGTGTGTGTGTGTGTGTGTGTGTGTGTGAGTGTGTGTGTGTGTGCGCGCGCGCGTGCGCATGCGTACGTGTATGTATATATATATATATATATATATACACATATATATATATATATATATATATATATATATACATATATATACATATATATATATATATTATATATGTATATATATATATATATATATATATATATATATATATATATATATATATATATATATATTATATATATGCATACACACACACACAAGTGTACTCACACATACACACTGTACACAATGCATTGTATAACATTTCTAAGCTCTATCCTGAACAAATACAAGGAAACACTCCATCTGCACCCCAACACTAACCTAGCCAAACCCAACATCCCCCCAAAAAAACGAACCTAAACCTCATTCAACACCCAGCCAACAATTTCTCAAAGTCCCCCCTCTACATCCCAAACCCTAAAAAAAGAAAACGGGGACCTCCTTCGTTTTACCCCCGGTCCCTTTCCCTCCCTCTTTAGAATCCCCCAAAAACGTTTCTCTTCCACCTTACCACGTAGGATCCGATAAGATTCCTCAGCTGCTGCGCGGAGATCCTTAGATCCGTGTCGGAGAAGGAATAAGGGACGTTCCAGCCAAGAGGCCCGAAGAGACGGCGCTCCTGCACGACGGCGTGGAAGAAGCAGAGAGAATAAACGAGACGGCGGAATTTCTCGGAAGATCCTTCGCCCGTCAGGAAATCCGGCTCTGATAGCGGGTCCGCGAGGTAGAGTCTATGGAGGAGGGGGAGGAGGAGGAATGTGATTAAAAAAAAAGGGTGTAAGGGGAAAATAGGTGGAAGGAGAATAAAGAAAGATGAAGATTAAAAAGTGGGAATTATAATATTTTTTGTGCTATTATTTTGGATTTTTTTTTCTTTCTCTCTTTATTCCTTATCCTTCCTTTCTTCCATGTTTTATCCCCCATTCTCCCACTCTCCCTTCATTCTCTTTCATCTTCTTCCCCCATTCTTTAGTCATTATCCCCTTCTCTTTTTCCCTTTCTTTCTTTCCCTTCATCCCTCCATCTACCTACCTCTCCCTCTCCCTTACTTTCTTCTCTCTCCATCACCATCATCCACTGAGACTCATTCTGCCTCCCTATATTATTTGAATATCTCCTTCCACCCTTCCTCCTAATTCTCACCTCCTGATATTGAGGTTTCATTTTCGTATTTGAATATTTTACTATCTATATTTTCTCCCTCCTTCCCTCCTCATTCACTTTCTTACCTTGTTCTTCCTCTCCCTTCCTCTCCTACTAACTCCTTCCTCCTCCTTTCCTCACCTCCTCTTCCCATCCTCCTCCAACCCTCTACTCCTTCACATCCTCCTCCTCCCTCACCCCCCTTCCCATCCTCCACCTCCCTCACCTCCCCTCCTCCTCCTCCTTCCCTCACCCCCCCTTCCCATCCCCACCCCCTTCCCCTCCTCCTCCTCTCTCCTCTTCCTCACCTCCTGAGATTCGCCCTGAGTCCTTTCGGCGGTTCGGTGACCATCTTGATACTCGACTGCAGCACGGAGACGGGGAAGTGCGCTGAAGGGTAGCTCGTCAACCAGAGGCGGAAGTCGGCGTGGGTTGTCTCGGGGTTCAGTTCCTCGCATAGCTGGGGGTGAGGGGGGGAGAAAATGAGGGGGGGAGGGGAAGGGGAGAAGATGAGGGGGGAGGGGGAGAAGTGATAAGGGTGGGAGGGAGGGAGAGAGAGGGGGTAATGGGGAGGGAAGGAAAGGAGGGGGGGGGTGATAAGGATGGAAGGGAGAGGGAGGGTGGAGATGAGGAGGGAGGGAGGGGATGATGTGGAGGGAGAAGATGAGAGGGAGGGGTGATAAGGGTGGGAGGGGGAGGGAGGGGGAGAGGGTGGGAAAGAGGGGGAGGATGGAGAGGTGGGGGAGAGGGTTGGAGGGGGAGGGAGAATGAAAGGGGGAGGGTAATAAAGGTGGAAGTAAGGAAGAGAATGGATAGGTGGAATGAAGGAAGGAAGGAGAGAGAGAGAGAAAGAGAGAGAGAGAAAGAGAGAGAGAGAGAGAGAGAGAGAGAGAGAGAGAGAGAGAGAGAGAGAGAGAGAGAGAGAGAGAGAGAGAGAGGGGTAAGAAGCGATAAAAGAGAAGGAAAAGGGTAGTTAGGAACAGAAAAGGGAGGGGAAAAAAGAAGCAGATTAGATTAACGGAAAATATTTACCGATTCACAAAGTCCAAAGAAATCACCCACGACTAAATAAAAGCCCAGGAAATAACAAAAAAAAAGAATCCTTAATGACCAAAAAAAAAAAGAAAGAAAAAAAAAATCGACGCAAGAAAAAAAAAAAAAATTACACACGAC